AATAATGAATGCGACGTACGAGGTCAGACTGCGAGGCATTTATCTTTCCGCTGCATATTTCTGTTTCTGTCGGCTTTAAAGTGGATACAGATTCATCATAAGCTGATAGCAGACAATGGCGTATTGTCCGGTCCAGTGAGGACGTCGGTTTATGGAGAGCCGTGCACTATAAAGGAGCTGATGCTGCAGCTTTTATGTACCAGAACAATAATTCAGCCTCGGCGAATGAGGCTGTTAAGAGTTTTAAAAGCATAACGGAATAATTCCTCCCGAGCCCTAAATGTCAACACGCGACAGTGGGGAAGTTGTAACACGGTGACTTCTTGTTTTGTGCACTTAAAAGCAGAACACAAAGTGGAGTTTTTTCCCTCCAACGTCGCTGCTATTTCTGTCCCTTTCAGGCGTGTGAATGTTTCATTTGCAGCGGCGACAGGAACGCCGGCATTAACCGTAACGTGGCTGCAGCTTGGAATCGTTCCCCTTTTTTTTTAGACGTTGGCAACAAAAGAGTTCAGGAAGTGTGACGGGAAGCAAGAAATGTCTTTAATTTAAAACCTGGTTGCTGTCATGTAGTTAATGTCACAAGAAGGAAACAGAACATCAACCTGGTAATGGACCACGTTGTTGTCTGTCTTTAAATCAATCAAATCAGGTTTATTGTCATTTTGCTGTACACACACAGTAATGCAGGCAAGATGAGAGAGCGTTTCTTCAGGATTGTTTAATTAGTAAGTTTTGCTACACTAAACGTTCACTCTCGCTGTCTCCTGAAGGGGGCGCTGCGTCCATGCACGTCCTCCTCAGGTCCTGGTAGGTCAGAGGTGTCCAATCCTGGTCCTCGAGGGCCACAATCCTGCATGTTTTAGATGTGTCCCTCTTCCAACACACCTGATTCAAAGGATCGTTATCAGGCTTCTTCAGCGCTTGATGATGAGCTGATCGATTGAATCAGGTGTGTTGGAAGAGGGACACATCTAAAACATGCAGGATTGCCCACCCTGTGGTAGGTCTTCAGGGACATAAGACACACACGATGGTGTGATGATGGTGATGCTGTCCAGAGCTGTCTGTCTGTCTGCATCTCCTCCAGCTGTCTGTCCGTCTGGGATGTTGTCATGGAGCCATGTTTCTGTTAAAGCAGACACTCAGCAGTCCCTCCACTCTCTGAGGGTTTCTCTCAGCAAACGTCCAGCTTGTTGTGGAGGGAGCGGACATTGGAGAGCAGGAGGACGGTCCTGCTGGTCTGGAGGGGTTAGCCTTTAGCCTAGCATGGGTCCCGGCTCTCTTCCTCCTCCTTTGTTTACATTTGTTTGTGTTTCCTTCTCTCTCGGATAACTGCCAGCATGGTCTCCGATCGGACTCCGTGTTGGTGTAGTTTGTCCAAAACACAACCAGTCGCCGCAATTCCAGCACCGTTCACTGTCCTGATGCCCAGCAAAGTCTCTCGGCCGCAAGTTTTGCAGAATGAACATCTGGGATAGACAAGACACTCAAAATGTTCACTTTAGTTTTCTCCTGAAGTGGCCAATATATATATATATATATATATACAGCGCCCTCCATGATTATTGGCACCAATGGTTAAGATGTGTTCTTTAGCTTCTAGTAAATTCAGTCTTTTTCTAAATAATATAGAACTGCAATGAAAAAAAAGAGGAAAATTCAACCTTTAATTCGAGTGCATTTATTCAGTGTGAAAAAAATCCAACATTAAAAATTAATTATTTAACATCCAATCATGTGTGCCACAATTATCAGCACCCTTGATGTTAATACTTTGTACAACCCCTCTTTTGCCAACAATTCATTTGAGTTGAAGGTTACATTTTTCTACAATTTTCAGTGTGAGAGGATGCTTCTGCAATAAAGATTGAATTTATTTTAAGGCTTTTAACACATCTTAACCAATAATTATGGAGGGCGCTGTACATCTATATGTCTATATGTATATGTGTGTGTGTGTATGTATGTATACCCTCATTCAGCCTTTTGTACCTCCTGAACTTGTATTAAATTTCTACTTAAAAAGGTGATTCAGTTCAGTAAAATAAGACTCTTTGCAGCAGAGCATCCATTAGCCGTCAACTATTAAAGTAATCAAACTATTTTCAAACTACTTCTCTAAGTGCAGCTTCTTAAATGTGAATATTTTCGCTCCTCTGTGACAGCAAACTGAACATCTTTGGGTTGAGGACGACATCTTGGACTCAAATCGGGATTCTGGTTTTCATCGTCCAGTTAAAGATGTTTATGAAGCTTGGTGTTGGTTTGTGTATAACAGATATAGATCTAGAAGTGAGTTCATCGGGTGCGACTGAGGTGTTCCTTTGCTGCCGTACACTAGAAGTGTGTCAGCGGTTAAACCGTCTCCGGCTTCTTCCTTCGCCGCATCGAGCCGACGCTGCTATGAATTATGGATGCAAGTGGAAAGCCTGGTATCTCTCAAACCGCCGTGTTCCACTGACCCACATCTTGCTGTTTGGTTCATCCGCCTCCTTATTATTTGTGAGCGTTGTGTTAACACCGACTGCAGCGGTTTTAAACATTAGTCCGTGCAGTCGCTGTGAGAGGAGCTGTGAGGCTTCATCTCCAAACTTGGTGCGACGTTCTGTGTGGAAACTGCAAAGTGACAGATTCATCTCAGTGTTTCTGTGGAGGGTGATGGCAGAGAGAGAAGCTGCTGGACACATTGTACTGGAGATATTTGCAGAAGAATTCAGGGATTCCAGTGAAAGTTCATAACAAGCAGAAACACTCTGTGCTTTATTCATCCTCGAGGGGGAAATTTCTTACATTGCTCCCATTAAAAGTTATAAAAATTTCATCAGAAGACAAAGTGTGAGATAAAGAAGACTAGAAAGATATGTCCTAGAAATATAAACATGAGTAGAAACATACAAAATATAAAAATGTTCGTTGTAGTAGGGAAATAGAAGTTGAGTTTTAATTGCACACAGAAGTAGGAACCCTCATGTTGGGCTCCGACTGGAGGAGAAATCTGAATCACTGTTTGATCCAGATTTTTTTTTGTAAAATAAAAGTTTACAGTCCAGCATGAAACCTCCAGAACTGCCTGCAGCCTCACCGGAGCCTAAATAATAAAACATGTTAGTTCTACCGCTAGCCCACGAGGCTAACGTTAGCCTCAATAATTAGAGCTGACGGGAAAAAAATCTCACCTCCAGTTTTCGACGAATCAAGAACAAACGAACTGTGTTGACTTTCATTTAATCTCACTCTAGTATTAAATTGTTGCACCACAGCCTCCGTTTGGTTTCTATCCGTTTCCCTCTAAAAGGTGCTGCTCTGCTCCTCCTGACTTCACAATCCTAATATGTGCTGAGATTGTAGAGAAGAATATCTGACTGTCCAGATGTTTTATTAGCCTCCTCTGTGGGAGTGTAAACTGTTGGCAAACTCTGCTGTGAAGCAGTTATGAGACTGGAGCCGATGGCACGACTACATCTTGAAACTTTAAGCAATGAGCTGCCAAGTTTCTTCCTAGTTGTTGGACTTAAAGCTGTTTTTCTTTCTTTAATCCAAACACTGTTGCTCTGAAAGTCATGTTCATGGAATTTAAGATCAGTTTCATGATCGTATCGATCAAAGTGTTGCAGATATTTACATGTAGACATGATAAGGCTGCATGAAATTTGATATTTACAATTTAAATATTGCTTTTTTTTCTATTTTTTGATCTGTACGTCTCAGAAGTTTTAGCTGATCAGTTAATCTAACAGCTGATTGGTCAAACTATGGATGGTTCCAGCTCCTCAAATGTTGATTTCTTCACTTTTTGTTGTGTTTGTCAGACAAAACAAAAGCTGTGATGACTTGAACTTGCACTCTGAAGTTGTGATTGTTGTTTTTTTTTATTGTTTCCCAACGGCATATAAACCGAAAACCTAACTGAGTATAAAAATAGGTGTTAGTTGAGAGCCTGAATCACAATAATTCCTGTCACTATCGTTCATTTCGCGTTGAATCCGGACCTGAAAAAGGAGCAACATGGACGGACGCACTGGATTTTGAAGTTGCAGTGAGGATTTCTCAACTACTTTCTACTAAAATCCCATGAAGGAAACAGTTTATTACTAAATTTACTACCTACAGCCAGACAGAAAAAGAACTTTCTCGAGGGATCTGCAGCCAGGCCCTGCAGACACTCTGCTGGAGCAGCGAATGTGGATTAATCAGCTGCTGAAAATAGTCCCGCTGCAAATGCACTGTTTCCCTCTGAGAGCGCCACAGTGGCCGGCTGTTGGACAAACTTACTGAGACCTTTTAGGAAATATATATTTTTAAAAGGAGTTTTCTCCAGCAGGAACCGGCCACTTTGGAACTGAGTGGTGCAGAAAAGTGCAACAGCTTTGGTCTTTTCAGAGGATTTATTGATGATCAAGGAAATAAACTGTTCACTATCCTGTTTACTTTTCACCTTTTTGCACTATTTGACACTTTGATTTCTTTGTTTTGCTTATTTCTATCTATATCTGTGTATATGTTCATTTATTCATATATATTTATTTCTTGTGTGTTTTTACACTTTCTTCTTCTTCCTGTTGTTTCAGTCTGGAACAGGTTCTAAATACATTTCATTGCACAATATACTGTGTAAAATTATGTTTGAGACAAATAAAGCAACAACATCAGCAACTCTCAGTTGTTTTTTGTTTGTTTTTTTTGTACCAGTTTGCTAATAATTACAGAGATTGTGCATCAATAAGTGTTGAATTTGTTTAAATAAACTAATATCTATCAGACATCTGTATCTATGAGTCAAGTAGCCAAAACTGATTCTCCGGTTGGTCTGTACATCGAGACAAAAACACTCAAAGTTTTTTTTAAAGACTTTATTCACACATATTTATGCACATCCACTAAATAAAGTGATGTTTTTTAGATTTAAAGCAGGATAACTTTCATTATGTACCAAATAGAAAACTCTACATCCTACACACTGATCATGATTAACTCTGTAACTCTTCTGTGTGTTTCAGAGATGATGGGAGGTTGTTGACATCCGACGTCGCCGCTCGCTAAAAGGACGTTTTACAGCAGCCTGAAGCCGCCCGCCGGTGCCACCATGGCCGCCCATCGGATCAGAGCCACCACCAACAACAACACGTCGCTGCCTCGCTGCAAGTCCGAGGGCACGCTGATCGACCTCAGCGAAGGAGTGTCAGAAGCCAGCCTCACCGACGTCAAAGGTCAGCGGCGCCAACAGCTTGCAGTCGTCTTTGTAAAACGAAATCGTAAACTGGAACAGTTTTGAGGGTGTTTCACGTGACAGATCCCAGTATTTCTTTTTCTCTGTTTTCTTCTCACTGGGTTTTGGTGCATCAGTCACTGCTCAGCAAAATTCTCATTAGTAATGCCTAAATATGTCTCTTTGTTTTGTTTTCAAGGGCTTGAGTTAATTATGACAAGGGCTGCATTGGTGTCAATTTGTTTGTATGTGAAATGTGAAAAAAAAGAACTTTCCTGTAAAGATTCCTGTAAAAATGTCACATCAAGTGACAGAAATTGGCAGCTTTTTAAGAAAATGTAGACATCAGCAAAAAAATAAACGGAAGAATTGAGATTGGTAGCTAAGTACTTTTAGGTCAAAGAGAAAAGGACAAACTTTAGTCTTGAGGTGTTTTGAGAAAGTAGAATTTATATAATATCGCATGGAGATTTGTCTCTATCAGAATCAGAATCAGAAATACGTTATTGACCCCCGAAAGGAAATTGCTTAAATAAATGCACAATGCAGTGTTACGCAGTATAATAACAGTAGTAAGCGCACATATTGTACATAAAACACTCATAAAAAATAACTGTAGAGACACTTTTATGTATAGAAAATATTGATATTGCACGAGATTCTATATGCAGCAAAAAATGTATATTGCACAAACTTCTCTCTATATAAATATTGATGGTGCACAGATTTTTCTATATGTAGAAAAATATTTTTATTGCAGAGATTCTTCTATGTATGAAAATATCACACGGATTCTTCTAAAGGACAAAAATATTAATATTGCACAAACTTCCCTCTATATACAAAATATTGATAAATGTAGGAAAATATTTATACAGCGCAGATTCATCCATATGCAGAAAAGATGCACAGATTCTTGTACATGTAGGAAAAAAACACATTTTTCTAAATATAGAAAATAATATTGCACAAAGTTTTCTCTATAAATGTTTAATATTGCATAAATTCTTCTATATACCTTTTGTTTTCTACTAGATGTGTAAATTCTTGTATAGATTCGTCTTATTTATTTTTTATTAATATTTATTGTATTTTATTCTTTTCTTTCTTTAGTTATTTTACTTTATTTTATTTTTTTAATTTTCCTATTTCTATTATTCCTGCTCATTCCTAGGGTGACACCAACAGCCGAAACCAAATTCCTTGTATGTTGTGTACATACTTGGCCATTAAAACTGATTCTGATTCTGATATATGAAGAAAATATTGATATTGCACAGAATTCTAAATGCAAAAAAAAAAATATGTACAGATTTCTTTATAAATAGAAAATATTGACATTAAGTCTTCTAAATGCAGGAAATACCAATATTGCACAGGTTTTTCTATATGTTGTGTTTACTGTAACTGCCTAACAATCAGGCCGATAACAAGTCGACTAAAAAGGAGTCATTTGTGCTTTTGGTTTGTGTTTATTGTGAGATAGCAGCAGCAGCAGCAGCAGCAGCGTTGTACTCGGAAAGCGCAATGATCAAAGCTACCAGTTAGTGGAAAGTTACCTCCAGAGAAATGCAGCGGGCAGATGTACACCTGTGAACTCAGCCGTAAACCTCAGAGAATATCATTTATTTCCGTGTTAACCGTCTTTTCTCAAGTACTTTGTGTGTTTCCCGATTTTGCAGAGAAACAAAACTCTCCTGTGTTTTCCGGCTAAAGCTTTAAAGCCGACCATGTGCGTCTGTTACATAAGTGGGGTCAGAAACGGAGCTCATGAGGAGGTTCCAGCCCGCGGAGGCTCTTTAGTCGACGTATGGAATGTGGACTTAGCGTTTCTGATGTGGTCGAGAAGAATTCCACAGTTTATGGAAAAATCAGCTTCGTGTCAGAGAATAAATAAACCGACAGTCTCGTTCTTCTCTGAGAGACGCCGTCTGCCTTTCCTCTAAACTCACCAACCGACCTGTCAGGGTTTTTGCATTTCATTTTTTAGGGTCATAGCAGCTTTTCCACGATGCACCAAAGTGGAAAAACTACTTTACTGCATCACAAGCTGCTTTTTTCTTCCTCCAAAATGTATTTAGTGTTGTTATATTGAGCTATTATTAATTAGCTGCCTACACTTTTTTCTAAAAACCACACACCTACCTGGTGTTTGCAGACTCGTCATACAGAAGAGCTTCTGTCAACACGTATATCCGTCTACGTCACGTACTGGTCCGTTGTTTTATTTGATGTTTTGTTGCTCAGGAAACTTGTGTGGATGCTGCTGCGTGAATCAGTAAAAGAGCTTCACTGTTGTTATCAGAACTATAACTACAACCTACTGGGAGTTTAAATCAAATTAATAGCAACACGCTACCCAGCAGTAGGTTTCGTTTTGGTTAAAGAGGTGAAACTGAACTGTTTTTTTCTTTTTCCCTAGAGTGTAAATTAGTGAGACTCCTTTCTGGGGTTTATTTTGCAGATAAAGTGGATGTTTGTGCTGTACTCAGCTGCAGCATCTGGTTGTGACAGTCTGTAGCTGCATCATGATGATGATGATATCCTCACAAGCACATTTTTGAATTTTGCACATGTGGGCCTTTTAAATGCTTAGTTTGCTCGATATTTTGCAAGAAATTAATATATTAACCCTCTGAGCTACAAGCAGTTTCTGGGTGTCGTGATCTGGTTTAAATTGTTTATTTTTTGCAGAATTTTAAAATGTAAAAGGTGGAAAAAAAGTGATTTTTTAATAAATATCATGATTTTCAGCTTACTTTTGTATAATTTTCCTGAGGGAACTACATATCCCACATGGTTAGCTGAAGGAATATCTGACAATCATTTCTGTTTTTACCGTTTCTGGATCATGAATGCTGTAGTTTTGGCAAACAGTGTCATGCTTTTCTGGCAGGTTTTGGGGTTTAGATAGTTAAAGCCCCATTTTTAGGATTTTAAAAGTTCAAATATAAATAGGTTGTGATAGAAACAAGCAAAAACTTAACACCCTGCATCTGTTAAATGCCATCAAGTATACAATCAAGATGTTTTATATAAGACATGCCACTCTACCTCTACCTGACACAGCTCTCTCTGTTTTCCAGTGCCTTCCCCCAGTGCCTTACGACTGGATGCGACCGCCTCCTTCGGCACTGCCAGGGAGGTCGTTGCCATTAAGGACTACTGCCCTTCCAGCTTCACCACTCTGAAGTTCTCCAAAGGGGACCGCCTCTACGTTCTGGACTCGTCAGGAGGAGAGTGGTGGTACGCCCACAACAACACGGAGATGGGTTACATCCCCGCGGCGTACGTTCAGCCCATCAACTACAGAGACTCGTCCTTCAGCGACAGCGGCATGATCGACACCGTGGGCGACTGCAACGAGGAGGCGGCCAAAGAAATGGACCTCCTCGGAGAGTGGGCAGGAGTGATTCTGAAACCAACCACCTTCCAAAATGGAAATCCTTTCGCAACAAACCATACCTCTACAAACCCTTTCCTAAACGGGGGTCCTCAGAGCTCGCTCGATCAGAACAGTAACGAGAAGTCCGTCGACCTCCTCCTGTTTGATACACTCACTCCATCGGTGCCCAACTCCACCAGCAGCACTGCCGACATCAACGGTTTCGGCAGCGGCGTTTTTAACTTGAGCCCCCTCAGTCCCACTGTGAGTTCGGGGCAAACATTGCGCAGGGACAACCCGTTTTTTAGAAGCAAACGTTCCTACAGTCTGTCCGAGCTGTCCATCCTGCAGGCTCAGTCCGACGCCCCTCAGACCTCCAGCGGTTTCTTTGGCGGCCTCAAAGCGCCGGCGCCGGAGCAGTTCCAGAGCAGGGAGGATTTCCGCACGGCATGGCTCACCCACCGCAAGCTGGCCAGGTCTTGCCACGATTTGGATTCGCTGGGCCAGAACCCGGGCTGGGGCCAAACGCAGCCGGTGGAGACCAACATCGTGTGCCGGCTGGACAGCTCGGGAGGTGCCGTCCAGCTTCCCGACACCAACATCAGCATCCACATACCCGAAGGCCACGTGGCCCCGGGGGACACGCAGCAGATCTCAATCAAAGCTCTGCTCGACCCGCCGCTGGAGCTCAACAACGACCGCTGCACCACTGTCAGCCCCGTGGTGGAGATCAAACTCAGCAACATGGAAACCAAAACCACCGTCACCCTGGAGATGAAAGTGTCTGTGGTGGTTAAAATGGAGAACAGGCAGACGACTGAAGTCTTGTGTGTTCGGAGTGATTGCAAAGAGGGACCTTACACTCCGGTTCCTCAGGCGTACCTGTACGGGGACACGGTTCAGGTGTGTCTGGACAACCTCGAACCTTGTATGTATGTGTGCGTCGTGGCTCAGGCCCAGTCCATAATGCCGGACTCCACAGTTTGGCAGCATGTGGTTAAGAAAATCACATTAGGAGTGTATGGACCCAAACACATCCATCCGTCCTTCAAGACAGTCGTGGCGATGTTCGGCCACGATTGCGCCCCAAAGACGCTGCTGGTGAGTGAAGTCGGCAAACAGGCTCAGTCTGCACCACCAGTTGCCCTGCAGCTGTGGGGCAAACACCAGTTTGTCTTGTCCAGACCGCAGGACCTCCGTGTTGGAGTTTATTCCAACATGGCCAACTACGAGGTAAAGGCCAGCGAGCAGGCCAGAGTGGTGCGAGGCTTCCAGGTCAAACTAGGAAAAGTCAGCAGACTCGTCTACATCATCGCCTCACGCAACGCAGAAGACGTTTCTGACTTCACCTTAAGAATCCAGGTCAAAGACGACCAAGATTGTATACTGGCTCAGTTTTGTGTCCAGACGCCAACGCCGCCGCCCAAAGCGGGCCCAAAAACATCGGTGCAGCGGCGGTTCTTGAAGAAGAAGGAGGTCGGCAAGATAGTCCTGTCTCCTCTCGCCATCGCCACCAAATACCCCGTTTTCCAGGACCGGAGAATAAACAACCTGAAGTTCGGAAAATTAATCAAAACCGTCATCCGACAAACGAAAAACCAGTACTTGCTCGAGTACAAAAAAGGAGACTTTGTAGCCCTGCTGAGCGAGGAGAAAATCAAGCTGAAGGGCCAGTTGTGGACCAAGGAATGGTACATTGGATATTATCAGGGCAAAATGGGACTCGTCCACGCCAAGAACGTGCTGGTGGTCGGCAAAGTGAAGCCCATTTACTTCAGCGGGCCCGACCTCACGACGTCGCTGCTGCTGGAGCAGATCCTGAAGCCGTGCAAGTTCCTCACGTACATCTACGCCTCTGTAAGGACTATACTGATGGAGAACATCGGAAACTGGCGGGCGTTCGCCGACGCCCTCGGATACGTCAACCTGCCCTTGACGCACTTCTGCCGGGCGGAGCTGGACAGCGAGCCGGAGAGAGTGGCGTCGGTGCTGGAGAGGCTGAAGGAGGACTGCAACAACGCGGAGAGCAAAGAGAGGAAGTCCTTCCAGAAAGAGCTCCTCACGGTAAGTTACAGCTTTGGCATCCCCCCCTCTGCTGCTGAGTTTTCTCCGAGCCACTGGTTTGAAAAAAAAATAAAAAATGCAAATTTGTTCCTTCCCTGTTTAAACTTCTGAGTCTCGGTTGGATGTGTTTTGTCCGTCATGTTTCCAATTAAATGGCCATATGTTTCTGTCAGTATCCTCCTGGTAGGAGATTTCTCTCTTAGTTGTTCCTCTCTTGCTTTATCTGCCCACGACTGCTCCAGGCTTCAGGCTTTAGGCTGTGGTCCAGTCGGCTAATTTTGCTGGGAGTGCAGTCGATAACTGCTGTGTAGGCATCGGGGTCTAATCGGGACTCGAGGAGCTGTGGAAAGCAGCAGAGCAGTTTGTCCCCACATGAGCTCGGGTTGCTCGAGCGTGCAGCGTGAATACAGTGCGCTGATGTGATCGATCCGGCTGATCTGTATGGATTTATAAATCAAAACCAAGTGATCTCACCGCTTTTCTAACATGTCTCCTTTTTCCAGACAGCGCTCTGCTATAATTACAATCTCACACGGGTATTCTTTAGCCAAGTTTGACTTTAGTTGGGGTTTTTTACTTTCTGCTTAAAGTGAGCAGATGTGTCCACAGCAGACCAAGAGGCCCAGTTCACGCCTCACGCTTTTCCCTTTTCAGTACATTCAGCTTTTCTTCAAAGAGGCCAAACTGCTGAGCTGTGTTCACTGTAAAAAAAAAAAGTGTGAACCAGCTACTCCCTTGGTTGTGCGTCTTCTGTCATGGAAATGTGGACTTTTTTTTTCAGTGTCGCCTCCGGCAGTCTCATCCTCACATGCTTAATAAACACAACTTCCTGTCACAAACCCGCTCACGGCCCCGTGCGCCATAAAACTTTTATTTTTATGTTTTTTTTTTTTATTCCGTGCGTTTGAAACACTGCACCCTTTTACAGAGAGTGCTTCCCTCTGCCTTTAAACTCCACGCTTTGTTTCAGCGTCGGTATATTATCCTCTGGAGAGCCTCCGTCAGAGGTCACAGACGTACTACAGCTGAAGTAACAGGGAGCACAAACACTGTAATTTACACAAGGTTGTAAACACTAGTTAGAACCATTTATAGCCAGAAAAACTGCAGTACGGAAAAGGACATAATAAAAGGTGGTGACTGAAAATATGGCGAGCTTCAATATAGACTTGTTTTTTATGTTATTTCTGTCTGCATTACACCTAAACTACTGGTTACTGCGGGGGCAATCAAAGCACGCAGCAACCCGGCAAATTGGAGCTCACGAAGGCTTTTTTTCTGTTTAGCCGACACAAATACGACGTTTGAGCTGCTCGCAAACATCTGACGTCCTCTGGAAAAAAAAAAAAAGTGGATTTTGGGCCTCGGAATAAAGCCGAGCGACTATAAAGATCTTCCTCTGCTCTTCAAAATGAGCAGTTCTGTGTGTCGACCTAATGATTCGTCTGTTGTCACGGTTCGACGTGGACGGAAGTCTATTTATAGAAGAAAGAGCTCAAAATCAAAAGCACCAAAGAGCCGCTTTTGTGTTGTTTTTTTTTTTTTTGAATGTCTGAACCCGCTCTGGTCGGCTTTGATTGTCGGTGGAGAGGGAACATCGCTGCTGTGTGTGTGTTCACAGACACAGTAAGGCTGTATTTACTAAGTATAGATTTTTTTATTGCTTCTCTGCTGGTCAGTGTTGCCTGAATGTTCAGTTAGAAACACACTGGTTGGGTGCCTTAGCTTAAAACCAGCAGAGTCTAATACAAATCCTTGGATAAATACGTTTTCATGATCAGATTTTGTTGTCGTTTTGTCTCTCTGTCACATTGGAGGCATTTCCATAATAGATGAGGTGAAGTGTGAGTTTTTTCATCTCGAGAGGCTGCACGCTGGAACAGAAGGGATCCATATGAAGCTGTATATAAACTGATTTTGATTGACTGGATCCCAAAACCAAACAGTGAGCATGGTAATCATTTTTTAAAAAAGCCGAATGACACCATTTGCCTGCAAGAATCAGTAAAAACAAAAGAAGTTGCTCATTTTTTTAGCCTTCTGACGGTCCTTGAACTGATCCCATGTTCACTTCAGTTTGTATAGTGAACCAAATCCGAGCTTAAAATGGGGATATTTCATTGATTAACCATGTGGACCTCAAAAAACACGCATGCAGCATTAAAACACAAGTTGTTGTTGTTTTAAATCAGCAAGATTTCACCATTTATTAGAGAAAAAAAAAAAAAAAAGCAAAAACGTTAAAAATATCATCAGATTTTCAACGGCCCTGAACTCATCATGCAGGACATGTAGTTGTGAGTGGAAAATAAACCAAATCTAAACTTAAAAATGTGTAATATTTTCACACAAATCACTTTATTTTACGTCTCATTTAAATATTAGCCATAAACAAACTGAGAAGCCGTGATTTACTCAGCTGTGAGCGACAGTCCAATATTTGGCTTTACAGAGAGCAGTTCAAACCAGAGATACTGACGGTTAAATATAACATATTTAATTAACAAAATAAATGCAGCAATGACTAGAAAGCAGCATATAGTGGAGCAAGTTGTTGGAAGATACAGTCAGCACGCTGAAACGACTTTCTAGAGTTGATGGGCAGACGAATGTGAAAAATGATGATGGAAGTTGTAAAAACGTAGAATTTCTACAGTATGAAGAAACACAGTTTTCACCATCTGTCACAACCATAGACTGTATAAAAGATGGACGTAGCAACCGGCCCTGAAAAATGAAGCCAACCCGGAAGTGTCAAAAACCTGCAATATCACTACGTCCACTAGCTGCTGGCTCCAAAAAGCCCTGAAGAAGCGATTACAGATCATGAAATACTGCATTCCTACAGCTCAGGACTTTTTTCTTATTAGTGTTCATAGTCAAATCCAGAGATCAGGTGGCCAATCTGAAAATAAATCAATACTGAATTTTTAAAAAATCGTCAACATTTTGCGGGGCAAGGGGCGTGGCTGGCTTGATTGACAGTCGGCAGCGACCACACAGGTGAAGCAAGCAGAAGGAGGTAAATGTGGGCGGGGCAGAGAGGGTCCGCCTCTCAATCCATCTGACCAATCGCTGCTCCTATGGCTCCGCCCCCCTCCGACGATTTTTGCGTCACTGGCTCCAAAAATCCAAGATGTCAACCAGGAAGTAGCAAAACCCTGGCTTCATTTTCTCAGTGCAGAAACCAACGGGTGACGTCACGGTAGCTATGTCCATCTTTTATACAGTCTATGGTCACACCTGTTGGCAAATATACAAATAAACAAATATATTCAACTGTCATTCCTTTTGTTTTTTTTAATGAGTTATGGCTTTATAGCTTTACTAAACTGCACAGAAGTCACGTTTAGGTTCTCTCTACTTCTAGTCAGGGTTGTGCTGTTTCCACGGAGGTGCAGGACTTTATATTGCAGCGAAAATGAGCCCACAGTGGGTGGAAATGTCACCTAATCTGCAGATTAATTCCTCCGTTAATCAGCTCTTTGTGTTTTCTCAGAGTCCAAGGTGACGTCTTCAGGCGCCTTGTTTTGTCCAGATGCAGAGATATTTGACTTCCAGTGATTTAAAGCAGAAATTGAAGAAAATAAAACAAATCATCACATCGGAGAAGCTGGAAGAGGAAAAAATAATTATTTTTCTGGCTTCACTTCCAACCGGATTAGCTGCAGCTAATTAGTCCATTTATTTCGCAGGCAAACCAGCCTCTCCTCATGTAAGGCTACATTTTCCTCTTCAATGCAATAAATGTCATTTTCTAATTAGAGCTGCAGCAATTAGCAGATTAGTTGATTGTCGAAAACAATTAATCCGCTTTTGATAATCAACGAGTTGTTCAAGTGGAAGCTGCCAAACATTCGACGTCACAGTAATTTGAATATCTTTGGGTTTTGTGATGCTGATTGGACGTTGCCTTGGACTCTCCTTGAACTCTTTTTTTCTTTTTAATTTTATGAGCAAAACTATTAAACAATTACCTCAAAAACAGATTCAGCGATAAAAAAACATAATCAGCGGTTTGCTACTGTGATTCTGCTGCAGCCCGGAGGATGAAGCCGTTAGATTTTAATCAACTTTTGAGCTCTAAATTGTTGAAGACTCTAACGACTGGACTGTCAGAACGCTTCTTTAATCGAACATTGCAGCATTGTGGGATGCAGCAGCAGCAGGAGGTTCAGGGTGAGAACCCTGGAACAGTAATAGAAGTTTGCAGGCTTTGGTTGTGGTATTAATCAAGGTTTTTAATTTTGTGCTGAGCTGAAGGTGATTGTTAGTTGTCCTTACTAATCAGCTACATACTGTAGATTACGTGTTCTCCTCCTGCATCCCTGATGTCTCCATGGTAACCTCCTGCTGAGATGGTGTGTCTCTTTGCCAGCCACCTGTTGGATCACTAGTCCTTTGCACTTTATTTCTTTACGTGATGCATTTATGTGTCATATCTGTGCATTCTGAGTATTTTTGCTTCTAATAACAGAGTTACAGGATGCATAAAGACGTTCATGGTGAATTCAGCCTGCAGTCTGACAAATGGGAGTTGATTTATAGGCCTGCAGTGTCACTTTTAATTCAAATTTTTATTTAGATTTTAACCAATTGATTGGTNAAAACTGGACTCATGCAGCTGCAAACACATAATGTTGCTGCAAGTTAGAGTAAAATGTGATTCTTTTATTGAGTTATTTAAAGTCTGAGGCTTTAACATTAATCAACCTGACAATTAAGCTTCTCTTGCTTTGGGCCGTTTGGAGAACAGCCAGCTGTTTTGGGAGTTCATTCGCTTTAAAGATGAGTGAAAAAGAAGGATTCCTGAGGTGTGTGGAGGGTTTCTACAATCATCTCTGTGACTTGAGGGTTTCTACAATCATCTCTGTGACTAGAGGGCTGCTGTGGGAGCATTTTTACAGTTTTATAATCTAACATAGATCGCTAACTTGTCTGTTATTCTCCTCAGTAGTGTTGGAAAAGTGTGATTCTTCCTTTAGAGGTTGGTGGAGACC